AGGAACGACATGGTGCCTTGTTGGCTTGCATTCATTGCATTCCAAAGTAGGTCAATAGTTGTAATATTCTTAACCTAATAGGTCATAGAATGAGGGTGTTACACCACTTATACTCTAGGCTCAAAAACTTAAGTCACGCCAACTCGAGGCTTAGCTCAACAAACTTTGACATGACAATGATGGTATTTTATTTTATATACAAAAGGCTAAGGTTTTGTTTAATCACCTAGTAGCTTTTGGCAATCCAATTTCCGAAGATGACATTGTTGTTGCCATTTTCATAAGTCTTACTTGTGTATATAAACCATTTATTCATTCTTTAGAAGCTAAGCTTCTTTCTACCATCTTTGATGACCTTTTTGGAATGCCTCTTAATGAGGAAAGATAATTAAAAATGGAGGCATCACACTTGAATTAATTTCTGCACCCTCGACTCACTTTTCTACCCATGGTGGTAGTTTCTCTTATGGCTATGGCCAACACAATGCTAGTCTTTATAATGGTCATTCCTCTTACCATTCTCTTGTATCTCATCATTTTACTCCACCCTTTGACTATTCTACCATTGATAGTAGCCTTATTATATGTCATAATTTGTTGAGGGCATAATAACGTCCCTCTCCTAAGTAAAGATCGAGTTTTGGTAACCTCCCAAGTTCAAACCTACTTATCTTATTACTACTGTTAGACAACCATCATCTATGCCTTGGATTGTTGACTCAAGGACAACACATCATATCGCAGCAAATATGGACACCCTAGGCCATCATTCATAATATATTGGGCTTAAGAAAGTCCTATTAGAAATTGTAACACTCTTCATATCTCTTGTATTGGATAGCCTACTATTGCTCTATATATTGTAATTTTGATTTATCAAATGTTTTATATATGCCTACTATCTTTCGGAACTTAATATCTATAAGTTCCTTTACCAAAGCTAATGTCGTATCTATTGAATTTTTTTTTATTTTGTGATTAAAGATTTCCATACAAAGGAAGTGTTTTACATTAGGTTGAATAAATAAGGCCCGTATGTCTTGCCATTCTCCGACCTTTCTTCGAGTGTTTGTCCATCTCCCATCGCCACCAATGTTTTGTCTCTTTCTTTCCATCCTAACATGCATGCTTGGGTCATGCCTCTTTTTGGAGTATTCGCTAAGTTCTTCATAGTAATAATATTTTCTTTCCTCACAAGGATTTTGTCCCACTCTATCATGCTAGTAGCTTTAGTAAAAATACTAAACTCTTTTTACTAAATCTAGTTTCCAAGCACAAACACCCTTTAAATTTATCTCGTTTAGATGTTTAGGGCCCATCGCTTGTTGATTCTCTTACTAATGCTAGATATTATGTCTTATTTTTTTATCATTTTAATAGATACATTTGGATTTTCTTTATTAAATACAAGTCGAAGTACTCGTTGCCTTTATTAAGTTTAAATGTGTGATAGAAAATATTTTTGGACATCCTATCAAAGTTTTTTAAGCAGATTGGAAAGGTGAGTACTAGGCGATCACATAGTATCTCACATAAAAGCTCTTGTCCTCATGCTTTAGAGCAAAATGGGTGTGTTGAACGTAAATATCGACATGTGGTTGATACTAGTTTGGTTATGTTACATCATGTATAAGTTTTCTTTAAGTAATAGACTTATTCCTTTGGAGTAGTAGTTTATATTATTAACAAGCTTCCAACATCCATTATATCTCATAAAGTTCTATATAAATTTTTATTTCAGCGAGTATATTGATTATGTTTCCCTTGAGGTGTTTGGATGTGCTTGTTATTCCTAGTTAAGACCTTATGATGTAAATAATTTTGAACCTCGTTCAAGTAAATGTGTATATTTGGACTATAGCAAAATTCATAAAGGATATTTCTATCTTGATATTTCTACTACAAAGATTTATATCTCATGCAATGTGAAATTTTCTAAACAAGTGGTTTTTTTTCTAAAAGAAATGTCTACCTCCTTCAACAAATCCATCGTACTTTGCCTTCTCATTGTCGAATCTACATTTGCTTCCTTCTAGACCTTATGCTAGTCTTCATCCTCTCATTACCGGAACATGTCCTTTTTCAATGCCACTGTCTAGCATGCCCTTGCACAATAATAATTCTTTTGGGTCTATAGTGAATTTAGTGCTTTGGACTTCACAGCTACCCTTTCTTAGGCCAACCTATAGTCTAGTAATATCTCTTAGGCATTCCCGTAACCTAACGATCTCTTTTCCCTCTAAATCGACCCACATGGCACCGGTCTGTCTTTTCTCCTATGCGAGTCCCAAGCCCACTAGCATGTCTCCCATGCATAGACCCTAATTGCTCCTCCTACCTACAAGTCCGACTATCTCGTTTCCCTTTAATAGACCCGGATGCTCTTCAAGCCTACAAGTTTAACTCTTTTGTTGTGTAACCTATTAACCCACAACCCCACGTTCATGTACATCCTTCGACCCATTCGTTAACTCCTACTATTATAAAACCTTTGGCCCAATAGACTGGTGAGTATCATCCGATGGTAACTCGGACTAAGACGGGTAGCACTGAAGCCCAAATCCCGGTTGCTTATAGCTGGTCCCATTTTGGACCCTCGATCTTATTCCCTAACGAGTGAAGGATATTCACTAATGTCGGGTAATGGTGAAAAAGATTAATGCCTTGATAGGTAATGATACTTGGGACTTGGTATTGACTACTTTTTTATAGAAATTGGTGGGTTGTAAATGCATGGTTCACACCAAACAACAAGTTGATAGCAAATTGAGCATTACAAAGCTCGTCTTATTGCTAAGGGTTTAATCGAGCATCTTGGCCTTAACTATACTGAGATTTTTTCTCTAGTCATCAAACTAGCAATATCATACTTATTTTATCTTTTTTAATTTCAAAAAAATAACGAGGTTAAGCAATTTGATGTTTTTAATGCCTTTCTTTATGGCGCTCTTGATGAGCGGAATTTTATGGTTCAATCTCAAAGATTCATTGATTCACACAAACCAAATCATGTATGTCAATTGAAGTCTTTATTGCATAAAGTGAGCACCCCTTTCTTGGTTTAGATGCCCTTCCGAGTGCATTATCCAGACTTTGCTTTTATTGGTTATAAGGTTGATTCTTCTTTCTTCTCCTATCAACAAGGTACCACTCATGCCTATTGCTTAGTTTATGTTGATGACATTGTGCTTAATGGGAGCTCTTCATCCTTTTTGACTTCTACTACTAAAGCTCTCCAACATCATTTTCCTCTTAAGAATCTTGGTTGGTTACATTACTTTCTTGGCAATGAATCCGCATGGACTCATCAAGGCCTCACATAATCCAAATATGTTAATGATGTTCTACTTCACTCCAAAATGCATGCTAGCAATCCTATTGCTACTCCTACCGTCCCAAACTCGGACTTATTATGTCTATAGGGGAGTCATTTTTTGATCCATCCTTGTATCGTAGTATTGTGGGAAGTCTTCAATATCCGACTTTGAATCGTTCGAATGTATCTTATATGGTCAACTAGGTAGCCTAATTCATGCGAGTCCTCTACAACTAATCATTGGTAGGGAATCAAATGCATTTTGCGTTATCTAATGGCTACTAAAACCCATGACCTTCTTATTCATCATTACTCCATTATGAAAATCTCTCGCCTATAGTGATGTTGATTAGGCAAGCAATGTTGATGATTGTAAATCTACCATAGGCTATGCAATTTTTCTTGGCACCTATCTCATTTCCTAAAGTTTTTGTAAATGACACATAGTGTCTAAATCATTCATTGAGATTGAATATAGGGCTTTATCTATTGCTACTTCGATGTGCTTTGGTTACAATCGTTACTTAGTGAATTACATTTGTCGACTTCTGCTACTCTTATCCTTTGATGTAATAATCTTAGTGCCACATATCTCACATGTAATCTATTTTTCACTCTCTATCCAAATATTTGAAGATTCATTTTCACTTTGTTGGTGAAAGTGAGTACCGGTTATTTACTTGTTCGTTATATTTCAAAAGAAGAATAAATTCATCATTGCTTAACAAAAGTCTTATCTCGATAGTGTTTTTAGTTTTTGTGTGACAAGTTGACGGTTCAATGTCATCCTACTCAATTTGCAAGAGGGTGATAAGATAACAAAATTATTATGATACTTCAAAATTCAAATCGTTTTGATATACCCACGTATCTTAGATAATGATAGGATTACACTATATATATAACAAAATTGTTATGATACTTCAAAATTCAAATAGTTTTGATATACCCACGTATCTTAGATAATGATAGGATTACACTATATATATATATATATGCGAGTATACAAAGACCAGAGTGTATCGAATTCATCTCGCTCTAGAATTCTTCAATACTAACCTCTTGTTGATTACTCTCGCCTCAAATAGGATTGTTTTCCCATATTTTTCTCTCATGAATTTGTCTTGTTGAGAGCCCTTATTTTGCATGCCTCCTACTGACTTATTATTGTGAATATTCCAATGATTTCAAGTGGATTGGTCTTGTTTGGGCCATATGCGTGTGTTGGGTTTAACAGGCTAGAAATGGACTTTTTAAATAAATAAAAAATACCCAATGGAGTTAAGTGAAGCCAATCAAAAAGTAGATTAAGAAGAACCCCCATTGAAAAAATTATTGGACTTTATCCATTTTGGCCATCTAATTTATCAAGGCAATGCTCAAAATAAATTTAGTTATACCAGATATGAGATATATAGCAATTGGAAAAAAATATCGAAAAAACAACATGAACAATAAAACTGTTCTCATCTTAACATCGACGATCCCCATTTACTTTCACTTCAACAACACAATACTCCTTTAAATAGTGTAACGAGACTATCATACTGTAGTCGTGAATGGGATTAGGTTTATATAATCAATTAAGAAATAGCTAAACACGATTTCAGTTTCTTTTTCCACACGTCACACACAGTGTCGGGTGCCTATTTTCTAGCCTGTAAGCAAGAATAACAAAGCACCCCTAGTCTATGAGTGCTTCATTAAGAGATTGTATAGCCCTATCAGCTATAATTCGGTACATTTTTTCTGTAGGATGAACAGCATCCCAAAATGCATATTTTGATGGATCAGCGCATGTGGTCATGCCTCTGCATGTGTCCCCATATTCTATAGTTCCTGATCCACAGCAACCCTTTGAAGTTTCCATCAATCCTGCCGAATAGAGAATAAGAACATCATCAGTCTCATTAATGAATCGGAATTTGTTTTGATATACCTAAAAAACGGAGAGTTTCTCTTATTCGATTTGTACTAACCAAATTTTTTGGGTTGTTGATTGCATTTTGTATGACACCATAGCAATCAACATATGCATCTTTAATCCCTATAGTTTTCTTGAGAATGGCCAGCTTTTCTTTTATCTTAGCATTGAATGACAAGGCTGCTTGGTTATAGCTTTCCACACAAGTATTCTGGCCCGTTAGCGTCTTGACAAGTGGAATGCATCCCAAAGGAGGGACGCCGACAACCACCACCCTTGTGGCTCCCAGTCTATTCATTTCCTGCAACCAAACATATATATAGATGAATGCTGTCACAAGAGAAGATAGAATATAAATTCCTTCAGAAAAGTAGATATGGGGTTGGCATGGCATTGAATGAGAAATGTAAATTTATGGCAGTCAAAACTAATTAATATGTTCATGATACTGTGGACAAGCAAGAGGGCAAATTATTGGAAAGGAAATACAGTTACTTGGTAAAGGATGTAAAATTCTCACCAATATTGCAGCAAAGGCATGTGAAAGGAATTTGAGCAAATTCTATCAAATTGGAGGGCACATACTTGTATAACTTTATTTTCTACATCACTGAAGTTACGAAGTGATTATTTATTAAAAGAGGAATTAATTACCTTAATGTCCTCGAACATCCTTGATGCCAAGAAATTTTGGTACTGGTCCACTGTGAATTGCTTGGGGCGAGTTGGTTCCAGATAGTAGTTCTGGAGAAAGTCATTTGTGCCCATACTCAAAACAAATATAGCATTTCTTACGATGTTTTGTGCCTTCTTTGCACCTACCAACCGTGACAGATGGAGCTTATAATGCTTCAAGTACTCTAGCTGCTTGGAAACCGGCAACACGTTCTATTGCAATTTGCAACCCAAAAGGGCAAAAAAATATAGCGTCATAAAATAACAAGCATTTTAAAACTTTTGCTAGTCTTTGCAAGATATATAATGTGGTTAAAAGAAAATCAGAAGGATTGAAGGGCTTACCGAGAGATTGGCAGTAAGGTCATCATAACCAGAGGCTGCAGAAGCAAAACTAACACCATGTGGCAAATATATCGGCTTCAGATTAGGATCAAGAAAGGCTGGAATTATCTTCGTGTAACCAATTGCCTCAGCTGGGAGAAGAAACATGAACTAACAATTAATCAAATCGAAGGCCATGAATATATACACATTTTGTAGAGAAGTGACAAAAATTTACCTATGAAGTCAGTGGCAAGTTTTCCATTGGTGAACCTTCCAGTGGGGCGACGGTCAAAGAAGTCCTGCCCATAAGGAGGAAAGTTGCCCTTCATAGGCGTCAGAAGGCGGTTGTTATTGCCAGGATCAACACTCGAGTCTCCAAAGACTAAAACACAAGTCACATTGTTTTTTGCTGCCAATTGCCTCACTTGATGGATGTCCACTGCCCCTGAGAGCAGTGGCATCAGAGCCATTAATGCCAAAACTGTCACCATTGGGACTGTTGAATACATTGTTGTCATCCCTTTGTAAATTTATTTGTCAAGATTGATAAGATTTGAGAGAGATTGATCAATGAAGGTAAGATTTGAACCACTCCACCTCTTCTTAAATAGACCAATATGAAGGTGAAACTGGTGTGTGTTGGTTGGCTTTGTAGTTTGAAGCAAATCAGAATTCAATTTCAGCCGGTAGCCGTGGGGACAGTTGTCATAATTCAGCATAGAATTTCTTTTTCTTTCAGCCATTCACCCTGCTCTCTGCAGCAAACGTTAGGCCACATTGAAATCATTTGAGGAAAAAAAAAAAATCTAATCTTAATTAATATACATTGATAGTATTCATAACTATCGAATCAAAGAAAAAAACTATTTGCTAAGTGCAAACTTTTGTTCATGTGTGCATGGGACGTGGGACGGTTTGCAACTTTTACAGTTGGTCTTTAAGGATTTCTTGTTCAAAGAAGTGATAAAGGGTTGGATATGACGAAATTGTTCTGAGAATTTAGTAGATACCATTTTCATGTTGACCATCGAGATCAAAGTTTGGATCTAAGTCATAGGAATAAAATTTTCATAAAATTAAAGTTATAAAAAGATATTTACCTTTAATTAAATAAGTAAAAGTTTAAAAACCTAATTTGGAGATCTTATGTTTATATTAAATCAAAAAATTGAACTTTATGTAAATAATTTTGCAAATTTAACTTTATATTTGTTACTTTTAGGTAAATCGATCCAATAACCATCAATTATTAACATAAACATGTTTGTTATCTTAAAACTTGCTGAGTTGAAAAAAATAACCATATGACATATGATGTCATATGATTTTGACTAAAATATTTACCTTTAATTTTTTTAATTAAAAAAATAAATATAGTATGTAAACCAAAAGATTTATAGGTTATTCTTTCTATTTTTCACAAATATGCAATTTGGAGGATATTTACATTCGTATGACAGTCATACAACTTTCTAGTGAATTAAAATTGAGGCTAATCATCGTAGTTAAAATTGTGTATTGCATAACTAATATTTTCCTCTGTTAAAAATTGAGTGTTTGGATTTAATTGTTTAGATGTAACAAATATTGAATCAAATTTGCAAAATTATTTATAGGCTTTATGGCAAAAATCACCTTTGTCTTATTGTAATTTGATAATTGCATGTTTTTATAATCAATTTACAAAATTTGAATATTAAAATATCATTTTTTGGATAAATTTTATCCAAATCCGTTAATGTTAACGATCAACCCAGTTGATCTGTTAATTTTTTTTCCTAGTATTATTTTTTCATTATTATTTAAAAAAATATTAAAAATGCTTTTCCTTTATTTTTCAAGAGAGATTTTGTTTTCCACCCATTTACCTATAAATAAATAAAAATTTCATTAAATTTATCACTAAATCTTTTTTTTTTTTTTTGTTCTCCTTCAAAAATAGCTTTCACTTTTTGAATCTATCTTTAAAAAACTAAAAATAAAATAAAATTTTAAAAGAATGGTTTTCTAACTTTAACAATTTTAAATGCATATTATATATTTGAATCAATTGTGGGGCAAAAATCCTATAAAATATGTAAAGATAAAAAAAATATTAAATAAATAAAGCTATATTTAAAATTTAATGATTGACAATCAAAAGAATAAATTTATTGGCATAAAAAAGAGAAAATTTTTAGTTAAAATTAATTATTTGATAATTTCTAATTGATCAAATTCAATCAATAGATATTTGCATTTTATTAATTATCAACGTGAGTGTTTTAATAGATAATGATACTACATAAAAGTTATTTTAAAAAAAATAAAATATATATATATATATACAAATAACAATTTGATTGACTATGAAAAATCAAAGGAATTAATATATAGAAATTTTAAATAGAAAGAATCTATCTTGAAAAAATGGAGGAAAAAAATTAACAATCAGCTAAGTTGATAATTAATATTAACGAATTTAGATAAAATTTATCTAAAGATCGATATTTTATGGTTCAAACTACGCAAATTAAAGTTAAAATCTGAAATTGTTAAATTGTAATATATAAGACGAGAAAATTATTGCCATTAAACCATTATGTATACGTAGTTCAATTTATGAATTTGATACAAAGAGGACTCAAATTGAGGTCTTTTCATAAATATTCATGGAAAAATTTATGCTAAAACAAGATTCCATACCTTAAATTAACTATTTACATGTAGACTGAAAATCGTAAGACTTGCTACAATAACCTTCGTAGATAACTTGATTAATTAAATAAACAAGACATTAAATATAATTTAAAAAAGCACCCTACTTATATCACTAACCATTCATGTTGGGCTTAAATTTATAAATAAAACTTTAGAGTCTGTGGTATCATTGAGCCTTGATGTTGAGATTTAGAGCAGAGGATTCTTTATTTTATTTATTTATTTTGTACAACTCACATTTCATAATTACCAATACCTAAAAGTATGGGTGTATCCAAACGGAAACTCACAAAAAAAAAATATAAATATCATTGATCCGATATTCGGATATCGGTCTACTATAACTTGTTGATTTGTACATAAATATCAAAGAATAGACTTTAGTTCCGTTGATTCAAAGAATGCCGGTAATTAAAAAACCGAGATACTCTCTCACAAAATTTTATTAATCAAACAAAAGTGGTGTTTTTTTTTCCTAAATGTCTTACATAAATAGTAAATTTTAAGTCAAAATCCTAAAACAATTTGAAAAAGAAACAAATACTAAAAGTCCAATAGGAAAAACCAAAACTTCCATACGGACGCGATTATTATTCCAACAAAATAGTAAATTGTCGTTTTGAGGATCTAAACGATGTTTTTTTACGAAAATCACAAGTATATCATGGCCAAAGCCATAAATTTTGATCGTTGGCTTGTTTCGCATTAAATTAGATTCAAAAACTCCTAAAATCAGTCCAAAAATCCTAACTTTTGTCACTATACCCTATCGTACTGTTTCATAAATTCTAAGAACTTTTTATCCACGTCAATCCATTATTGTGAGAAACAAGAGTGTTGCTGCCATTTGCATTACTTCTCAATTTGCTGAGGATTTGTGTTTTGGCCCATTTTCCGCCTACAATCCATTGAAAAGTTTGTTCAGCCTCAATAATTAACAATGCAGTTGAGCTGCATTGCTTTGTCAAATGAAAATGAAACTTCCCAAAAATAGTACTATAAAAAAGAACTTACATGATTGGATGTGTTAATAATCTACGACTAAAAATTATTTTTTGTCAAAAAGGTGGAGGGAAGTCCCATCATCAGAGCTGAAATTCTATTTGATCCGAAATTTTGTGCTACCTTTTTTATCATCAAAACGGCCCTCGATAGGGTACCTTGGTGAAGGGCTGGCATGCTGTATTGTTGGTGATCTACTTCAATGCCGACCATGTTCGGTGCATTAAAGCTGACCCTTTTTTTTTTTTTTTTAACATCTACCATATTTATTGGTCCAGCTGTCCCTCTCCACCTCCAGCCTCTAGCCTACAGCCTCCAGCTTACAGCCACGGCCCACATGTTGTTCAGCTCTTCTGATCTCTTAAATTCATTCTCAAAGTCCAGTACTTAATACTTTTTTTTTTTTTTTAAGAAAATACCAACAGCACTAATTGATGATTAATTGGTCGCCAGTAAGTGTTTTTTTTTTTTATCGGTTAAACATAAAAATTTATCTTAATGTATCTCATCTTATCATAGTCTCATTATTTTTAAAATTTTTTAAAATATTCAATCTGTTTTTCAATCAAAATTTTTAATTATACATATTTTTTTAATCAAAATACCATTTATTAAAATGTGAAAAAAATTAAAAAAAAAATCAAAAAATGAAAAAGCAGAAACATTTAAAGTCATAAACCTAAATGTTTTATTTTAAAAATTTTTTAGAAAATTTTTTTATTTTTTTATTATTTTTTTATTTTTTACATTTCAATCAAAGATATTTTAGTCAAAAAATATTATTTGACTAAAAAATTAAATCTGAAAGACAAATTGACATTTCAAACACATGAAAATGCAAGTGGAATGCAATTATAAACATAAGGATGGAAGGAAGATATTAGGTATTATAAAAAGATATATGGTATATTTAGTTTCTTTTCCTTCTGTTTTTTTTTTTCTCTGCTGCTTGTGAAACTCCTTTACATTTTTCATAGTCATAGTAATTAATTTATCATACAAGTTTATTACTATTACTACATATAATATTATTTTCGTCCTGTAAAGAGAGTTAATTTTTTTAACATATCTGAAAATTAATTTATTTTTTTTATCAAAAAGTCAGAATTTGACATCAAATTTTACTATTTTATTTCTTTTCACATGTACAAATACCTTTTCTTAATCTGTATAAAAATACCAACAAAACTCTTTTTATGATATGAAGGGAATATAATATATATGGACATGTGGTGAGCCTCCGTATTGAGGTAGACAGGGCACAACTGGGCTGCGGATAGGAGTGGAGACCATTTATAGTTTTGTTGTCTATAACTTAAAAAGAAGAACCTCATCCAAATACCAACCAGGCAACCACTTAGATTTGGTGTTAACTGGATAGTTTTTGAGATCTTTTGATCACTTAATGAAGGAGTTGAAGATTTCTGAGAGCTTGATTTTCCAAACAATTGATGGCAATGAGGCAATGAGGCAATGACATTATCATTTTATATTCTGCATCCACGTTACCTCCAAAATGTGATTCGAGTTATAACTTTTTAAAAGGATGCTTCTTCAATCCACCCAGTACTGGTAGACACACCGAGAGGTGTTAGTTTGTGGGTTAATGATTCCAGAGATTCCTTTTCTTTTCTTTATTCTTTTTTTCTTTTATTGTGAGTTTCTGTATTATTTTTTTAGATTTATTTTTTATATTTGATTTTTGTTTTAATCTCATTTCTCGATTAGCTTTCAAATTAATAGTGTTAACTTATTTTTTCCATTTCAATCTCATCTCTCTACTCTATTTTTCTATCTTAATCTTTTT